GCAGTTCAGGCTGGCCTTGAGCTCACTTTGTAGCCCAGGCTGGTCTCAAACTCGCAATGACCCTCCTGCCTCAGCCTCCAGAGTGCTGGGATTACAGGCGTGCGCCACTGCTCCCGGTGACATTGTACTTAGGCTCCGTTTTAATTCCTGGTAATATTTACTGTGTCTTCGTTTGGCTTAGGAACAAACATTCTCTGGCCTTCTGCTCCTGGTGTTTCTCTCCCGAGGGTCTTGGGGGACCCCGCTCCTCACCACCCTCCCCTTACCCTTGCTCTGGTGCCTCTATCGGCCCCACAGCTGGCTTTCACAGAGTGACTTCACTCTTTGTGACTTAACCTCTCTGTACCTTGCTTTCCCCTCCTGTACGACAAGGACAGTAAAGGTCCTCTAGAGAGTTAGGGACTCATCAGCGAAGATTGGTACCGTGTGGGAAGCCGTGACAACCTGCTGTCGGTGTAGTCACGCGCCGTGCCGTTTGGGCCAATGACAGGCCGTGCGTAGAGCAGCGGTCCCATACGGTTACAAAGGAGCTGACCTTTTCCCATCGCCTAGTGACATTGTGCCATTGTACCTTCAGAGCACAACACATTGCTCGCCTGTTGGTGTGAGCGAAACTGCTCCACTGCTAGCTGTGAAAGCCTAGCTTGCACAGCTATGGACACTAAGCGTGTAAGAGCCCATACCATCTAGGTTTGTGTGGGTCCACTGCGATGTTCACGCCATCATGAATTGCCTAAGGATGAATTTCCTGAAACGTATCCCTTTGTAAGCGAAGCATGACCGCACACATTGCTATTGTATTATTGCTGCATTATTGTTCTGACCCAGGGCAGACTCACTGCAGCAGTGCCTCCCATCCCCGACCCAGCTGTCCAAGCCGCTGGGCGCACCTGCCCGGATTCCCACTTGGGCTGGGAGAGAAGTGTTCCCAGTCCCATGTGATCTGGATCCCTCCTGGCTGGGGCTGCAGTACCCCCATTCCCTTCCTTCTGCCTCTTTTCTCTACTGACCCCAGGCCCTGCCACTTTCTCCCGGTGTCAGCATCGTTCCAAAGTCCAGGATCCCAGGACACCAGCAGGCAGGCTCCTGAAACGGAGACTGGGTTTGGGGTCGGCCACTGCAGACTGACCCCTGCGTTCCTGGGCCTGGCCCCTGGGAACTGCTGTGGACTGCACTTGGGCCTTGGGCCAGCCGAGTCAGGGGCATGTTTACTTTGGAAAGAGTGGGACATCAAGGTTTGTGCAGACTTCGTGCTGTGCATCAGCAGGGTAACTTCAAACGCCTGCCGGATTTCTTTAGGAAAGTCCAGCTCCCTGCCCACTCTGCCATCCTGACTTTAGACACTCTCCAACACAGGCGTGGCCAGCAAGGGCTCCCACAGGATCTGGGACGCATGCAGCACACAGGACTCTCGTGTGCGCAGATGGACACATGAGCCCAGGCGTGCTGCCACCCCTGGCCCTGCCCCTGCCCCTTACCTTGGAGTTGGGGAGCGAGAGGCCGTGTCCCTGCTTATCAGCGGCTGCCTAGCTTCCTCCGCCTGGACGGCAGGGGCCTGGGACCTGAGAATGCGCACGTGGCTTCCTGACCTCAGCTAATGAGAGGAAATTCTGTCATCGGCACATAGGAAGCTGGGGATTTCAGGCTGGGGCCGCTCCCTGAGCTGCGCTGCCCATCTGGCTCCGTCAGGCAGCCCTCTGGCCGCTGGCAGCCTGTGGACCCCGCCGGAGATGCCTTCTTTGGGCTGCTGGGGCCTGCCCGCGGCCCTTCTCACCCTGCTCTGCTGCTCAGGTGAGCTGGTGCCCAGGGTTCCTGGCGTGGGGCAGCCCAGGGTCGGGTGTTGCCTTGCGCCCTGGCCTTTAAGCAAGGAAGGAACTTGCGGACACTTTAAACACACGCGGCACTCTGCCACGGGGTCAGGATGCTGCGGTAGCCTGGCTTTGACTCACCGTGGTTCTGCGCAGTGGATGGGGTCCTGGCCTTCTGGACACCAGGCGGAACTGGGCCCCCAGCTTCAGGGTGTGTTGGTGCGACAGGCTGTGGAGGGGGGTTGCCCCGGAGGTGAAGGGGTTCGGGGGACTGAACAATGAGGGTGTACACCCAGCCTGTCTTCTAAAACAGCTGGGGCAGCAGGGGCATGGGGACGCGCCAAAAGCAAACGTGAGGCTTTCCTCGTCAAATACGCTAGCATCCCTTCCCCGTAGGGCGGTCGTGAGCGTTCTGTGAGTCAGTGCTTGAGGTGACCCCTCACCCGTCTGTTCTCGTCCCCCCTGCCTTCTCCTTCCTGAGCTCTGACCACCCTGGTCTCCCTGTTGCCCCCAAAGCACCAAGCACGCTCCCAAATGAGAGTCTCTGTGCCATGACGCCCTCTGCCTAGAACGCTCAGCTTACCCACTAACACCCGCACGGCTCACCAGCTCCTGTGCTTGTCCTTGTGAGGCCCCCGCTAACCACGCTCCCCGCTCCCCTCCCTTGCCGCTTGCCACAGCCTCACAGGCAGGGGCTCCTGCTCCTTCGTTATTATCCGGCTCCTCCACTACAGCATGTGCTCGGCCACCGGTCACGGTTGGTCGCTGTGGCAACCCCAGAGCCTAGTACAGTGCCCAGCACATAACAGGTGTTCAAAAGCACTTATGGAAGAAAGACACGGAGAGGGAGGTTAAACCCAGGGCCACAGTTCAGGGGACGCAGCTCAGAGCCCGCCTCCATTCTCAGAGGCCTTCCTGGAGGAGGAGACATTGGGCTGGGTCTTGACAGAGATGGACCATGAGCTTGGGGAAGACTGATTGGAGCTGACCAGCAGAGGCGCTGGAGGGGAGGACCCAGAGGCAGGGAGAGGCTGGAAGGCTGCTCGCCAGGTTGAGCCAGGAATCAGAGGGACCATCCACGGCCTTGATCCTCACTGCCAGTCGGCAGGCAGCTCCACCGGCATCTACCGCCCGGTGCTTCTGGTCTTCCAGGGCCTGCTGAGATGACTTTCGAGGTTGACATATGGCCAGAGAAGTTGGCGGTCGAGACCGTAGGGTCCAGGAGAGTCAACTGCAGCACCAGCTGTGCCCAGCCTGACTCGGGTGGTCTGGAGACCTTCCTGACGAAGCAGCTGGTAGACCAGCAGCCTCAGTGGCAGCAGTACTTGGTTTCAAATATCTCTCAGGACACAGTCCTCATCTGCTACTTCTCCTGTGCTGGGATGACACGGTCAAAGAGTCTCAACGTCAGCGTGTACCGTGAGTGGCTGTGTGTGCGTGTGCTGGGGGCCTCTCTCCCGGGGCAGAGCCTGCGTCTACTGAGCGCACCGGGATCTGCTCTACATCTGCTCGTCACAGCCTCCACCGCCCTGGTGCCAGAGAGCAGGGCAGGCCGGTGCGCTCAGAATTTGCTCACACCCTTGATGGCCCCTGAGCAAGCCAACCCCACTCTGAATCTTGCACCAGGGAGAACAGCCCAAGGTTTACCCAGACCCAAGAGTCATTTACCCACACGTTGTTCTTAGCGTCCTTCCAGCTCAGACACCAGGGCGCCCCACGTGTGTGACAAGCTCCCACGCCTCCAGCGACCCCTTCGCTTCACGAGGAGCGGCTGCCTGGTTATTTTCTCCTCCTGAGGACCCACGGCACATGTGCCACCACCGCACACATGCACCAGGAAAACTTCCAGACAGGCCAGGTTTCTCCCATAACCTGGGCTGCTCAGGTCTCATTAGGGCCTCCTATAACCAACATCTGTGGATCCGATGAATAGCAAGACGCCCCAAATTTACATTTCATTCATACTTCCGGGGTGGGGGGAGGGGGTGCGTGTTCTTGACATAATCATCCAATTGTTTAATCTCTGAACTTTGTATTTAATATATATCTGTAGAGGAGGGAGACACACAGACCCAAACTTGCATGTCTTCCAAGTTGGGTGTACAAGTTCAGGACCTTTTCTTTACCTCCGTCTTGTCTGTTCTCTAAATCACGTACAGGAAACTACTGACGAGCACATCTTCGCATCACACTGCTTCCTGTTTATTCTCTGCCACAGCAGGCCAGGCCCCAGGTCGTTGTCTCCCTCACAAGTGCTGCTAGGGAGCTGTCACACCGCGACGTCAGGAGACGGTCCTGGCTGGTGGGGCCTGCAGGGACTCACCCCATCCTGACTGGACCGCTTTCCTTCATTCCCGCAGAGCCTCCAAAGCAGGTCACACTGAAGCTGCAGCCCACGCGGGTGGCCATGGGCACGGCCTTCACTGCGGAGTGCAGGGTGGCTGCGGTGAAGCCCCTTTCCAGTCTCACCCTCAGCCTGTTCCGTGGCCAAGAGACCCTGCACAACCAGACCTTTGCGGGGGCAGCAGCTGCCGCCCAGGAAGTCACAACCATATTCAACAGCACGGCTCAGGAAGGCGGTGGCCCCCTCACCTTTTCCTGCCAGGCTGAGCTGGACCTGCGGTCTCAAGGCGGGGACATCATCCGCAGTGTCTCGGAGCCCCAGATCCTCCAGGTCTATGGTAATGGGACCCCACAGAGAGAGGGTGGGGCCCTTTGGCCTCTGGGCCTCTTGTGGGGAGAAAAAACTGAGCGCTACTCTCAGGCCCACTGGGATTAATCGGCACACTTAACCCTAAAGTTTCCCATTTTCACTGATTCTCTAAGGCCCCAGCCTGGATCCCGACCATTCTAGAAGTCAGGAGAGCTCAACTAGCTGCTCACCCATTATCCAGCTGCACAGCCTTGACCAAGGCAACCTTTCTCTCTGTCCGGGACCCCTCTCCACAGTGAGAGGGTTGGCCTGTCTATTTCAGAGGTCCCCAGGTCCCCTGCTGTTCCGTGACCAGTGGCCAAAGTGTTCCCCGTCTTTGGGGAGCTCAGCTGGCTCTGCCTGAGGAGGGGCATGGACCGCACCATGGTGTCCGGTCACCACTTGCTGGTCCCAGGGGCTGTCGGCAGGGCGACATCCGCCCTACCCATCTCACAGAGGTCTGGCTGGCAGCCGGCGCCTGGGCTACTTCTAGCCGCCACTCTGAAGGCAGATGCCGTGCACCACTCCTCTTGGCAAGCAGGGTGACCGAAGCATCAACGAGCGGGCGCAAGGTGACCAGCAGACACCTGAGCCTTCGCCGCACGCTGGCCCCTGCGTCTTCTAAGACACCCGTTCCCTCCCCAGAGCCCGTGCAGGACAAGCAGATGGTCATCATCGTCACGGTCGTGTCGGTTCTGCTGTTCCTCTTTGTGACATCCATCCTGCTCTGCTTTGTCATCAGCCAGCATCAGCGCCACAGGCACAGAGGCTCCTACGGGGTACTGGCTGCCTGGCAGAGGCTACCCCGGGCCTTCCGGATGCAGTCCGCCTGAGTCACGCGGCCGCCCCTGGAATCGAGCATCGCTCCTCAGGGGCGTGATCCAGCCCAGCTGACAGACTGTGACAGCAGCTCGGCAATCAGGGACATTTCCCTTTCTGGCCTGAATACAAACACCTGGATTTAACCTGGTGTCCTCCATGTCTGCTGCTGGGATAACAGCAGCTGGGAAGGGGGAAGAACAGGCATGGCCTTCTCTCCCAGACATGAGCTCCTTCCGCAGGGGCCTTCCAGGGCTGCGGCCAGCCCAGGCACCAGAGGACCTCTCTCACCTGGCCCGGGTGACTAAGTGCTACTGAGGGAGGGCAAGGAAACACCCTGGCCTGCAGAGGCAAAGGACACTGTTCCCACCTGGCCCCGTAGGACCTCATGCCATTCCTGGGGGAAAGGGGGGACACAGCAGGGCCTCTGCGGGCGCCAAGGTCAGCTCTCTGGGCTGCCGGTGGGGTCCCAAGGACACTGACCCAGCTTCAAACCCTTCCCCAACTCAGGGAGCTGCAAGGAGCTTAGGAGACAGGAGCAGTCCTTTCCTCACGCTTCCTGCCCTATTCTTAACCCAGGTGACCCCACGGCCTTTGTCATCCCAGAGGAGAAAGGGACAGAGGTGGGCTAGGACTTTTAGCAGGGGAGCAATCCCTGGTCTAGGCAGAGCAGGGCTCACAGGGCTTCTGGGCCGCTGGCTGGGCTTGAAGGGTGTCTTCCAGGCTGGTCCAAGACGGCAGTGGGGTGGAGAGGGTAGGTCCAGCACCCCCAGAGGAGAAGGCTGCCAGCATGCGTGCAGGGTCAGCAGATAGCAGTGGGCAGGTGGAGACGACAGGGCTGCTCTCAGGCCTGCACTGGCGCTGGTGAGGACCCCGACGAGCAGCCACCCTCACAGCAGGCTCTCGGCATCATAGTAGTCTGGGGAGACAGCATCTCCACTTGCATCCCTCACACCCAGTGGACTCCAGCAGAACCGAGCAGTCAGGCCAGTGCCCACCGCAGTGATGGGAGGAGGCCCTCATGCCCCACCCCGGGCTCAGCACCCTCCCGGCCGGATAGCCCCAGGCCCCGCCGCTCACCCATCCAGCCTCCTACCTGAAGCTGGAGGCACATCTGCACCCACGGTCTCTGTAGCACTGGGGGGCGGGGGCGGGGGCACAGCTCTGCTGAGGTGGGGGGACAGAGAAGAAAGACCCCATCAGAGGCCCACAGGGCCCTGGCTAGCTCTTCCAGTCCAGCCCCAAGCAGATACTTGGCAGCACCCAGACCCCCGGTCCACTTACATCTTCCTTTTCCCAGAGAGAGGGGGCTGGTGCTGGATCCTGGGCATACCCTGACAGGAGGGTTGGCTCAGGAGAAAAGGACAGAAAAGGGCTGGCCAGACGGGCAAGGGGCCCACGGAGGGCACCGGGTAGGGCAGGTAGTGGTGGTGGACCACCACAGGTGCGTCCTCCTGGACACACAGCTCCTCCTCCGGCTCTCCCTGCTGCCCCTCCAGGTAGACCTGGGGAGTGTGAGAAGGGGATAGGGAGGTGATAAGCGGCTGAGCGGGCTGGAAGAATCTGGGTGTGAATCCAGGCGTGGGGCTCAGAGTACACCGAGCTACTCCTGGCCCACCTGTGTCCCTCGGTGAAGTGAGGAGTTCATCCCCAGGGTCTCTGGGGGGTGAGGGACCCCAGCACCTCCTCGGGGTCGCCCTCTTCCTGGAGTCCACCGACCTCTCCTGGAATGCCTCTTGGCTTCCTGCAGCCTGTGCCCCCAGGGTGCCTGTCCTCAGGCCTCCTCTGTCTCCCTCGCTGGCAAGATCGGCTCAGCCTTGGTGTGGCCCCTGCTGCCCCCTCACAGGCCTTGCTCCTCCTGCTCCTGCCTGCACTCCTGCTGGCCGGGAGGGTGGACACACCAGGGCCCAGTGGTGCCCACCCTCCTGGGGCCTGCTGTCCACGAGGAGCATGCACTCCTTGCACAAGACCAGGAGCCTAGGCGTTGGGACCTGCCCTCCCTTCCTGGAGTCTGACACAACCCTAGCGTGCAGGATAGGTGCCGAAGGGACCCACCCAGACAGGTGTGGGCTAGCTTCCTGCTTCTCTGGGCCCAATCCCCTGACACCCACCCTGGAGCACAGGTGAGTGACGCGGGGGGGGCACCCCACGCACCTGCGGACCTGGGGAGTCGGGCTCAGGCCTCAGCGCCCCTGCCACCAGGCGACTCAGCAGCAACTGGTGCATCTGCGCGTTCTGCAGCGACATCAACTCCAGCAGGTCTGCAGGTTCAGCGGGGTTCAGCAGGCCCAGCCCGGCACCGCCCCCTGCACCCGCACCTGCCCCACCCAGGCGCAACTTCAGGGCCCTCATCCGGAAGCAGGCTGGGTGCGTGGAAGCCCGGATGGACAGACAGCGAGCGCTTGCGGGACGGAAGGCGCTTGGGAGGGCGACCCCAAGTCTCACCTTCCTTCACACGGCCGGGCTGCGGGGGCGGGCCAGAGACGACCAAAGGGAGGGGCTGCAGGATGGTCACCGAGGGCTGGGGACGTGGGCGAGGACACTCAGCCAGGCCAGGCGCGGAAGGGAAGGGGCGCGTGGCGAGCCCCCACGCCTCCCTCGCCCCGACGAGCGGCCTCCCTGACTGTCGTCTCACCCCCACCTCCAGAATCCAGCCCCCCCAGGGGCGGCTCCGCAACTCGCCCGGTCCCCCATCCCACGCCCACCGCGTGAAAGGCAGGTCTGCCTCCCGGTTCAGCCCTCACCGTCGGGGCTGCACTCTGCAGTGGAACGCGACTCCAGCTCCCGCCAGCCCCGGAGGCCATGGCCAGGCTTCGCGGGTCTGGGTTACCGCGGCAACGCCGACGCCAGCGCACGGCTCCTCTCACGCATGCGCGGGCCTGACCCCGCTTGGGGGGGGGGGCATAGTTTTTAATCGCTCCCATCTGCTCTTCTACTTCTTGGGGCTGAAGTCCCCCTGCCCTGTGGTGGGCTTCTGGAGCACTGTGTCTCACTCCTCCCGGTGCCTGTCACCATCGCTCACGCCCAGTACTGGGCCGGGGAGGCCGTGTCTGTTGAATACATGAGCTGCTAGGTTGACCCCAGCTCAGCGGATGGCTTCAGCAGGTGCAGAGTTCCATAGCGGCCACCTGGGTGTGAGGGCCGGGCGGGTGCCGAGGGCCTCAGATCGCTCCCTGCCACTCGGGAGAGGGATGTTCCGTGGACGGCGTGTAGCTTCTGAAGACCAGATCGGAAACACCGGCCGAACTCACAGAGGAGGATGGAGCTCTGGCCAAAAGCGCACGTCCGGTTCTTTATCTCGGCCGTTTGCGCCCTGATTCCCGGCGAAGGTGAGCCTCTGGCCCCCGGAGGCGGAGAAAGAGGGCAGTCCCCGGGCCTGTCCCCGATACTGGAAAAGTTACCAAAGCGTGCATTCTTCTGGCAGGAAGTTAGCAAGGTCTCCACTGCTTAAGAACAGGTGAGGCGGGGAGATCTATTTCGGCAGCTGTGACCATGCTAAGATAGGCCGGAGCAGCCGTCAAGGAAAATCCGGACAGGAAGCTGGGATTAGCGCCCGGGGAGCTGCCCTTCCCCCGCTCCCCGCTTCGGTTCAGCTCCCCTTCCTGGCAGTCCCACCCCACCCCTGCCACCGCCTTTGCGCCTTTGTCCTGTCGCCCAGAGAGGGGCTCAGGGGCAGTGCCCTCGCTGTCTCTGTTGGCCTTGCCGCTGCAGTCGCCTCCGGCAAGCTGAGATCCCGTGGTCTCAGGCCCCCAGGGAGCGGAACACACTCCTCCACCTGATTCCAGGACGGAAGCCATCCCTGTGGCCACGCCAACAAACACTGGGCCGGGTTGTGGCTGCGTGAAGTTGCCCGTCTGGCTCCAGGGGCAGCGCTGCAGGGAAGTGAAGACAGGCCGTCAAAAGAGAGCGGAAACCCCAGATCACGCAGAATCCCCGGTGCGGGAGGCGCAGAAGAAGGGACAGCGAGGAGGGGCGGGCGCGCTCCGTCCCTGGGGGATGGGGAGCTGCAGAAGGCAGCGCTGGGACAGGGCCAGGCAGCACGAGAGAGAAGGGACAGTCCAGGTGCAGGTGCCGCGACGGACGGGGCCTGAAATGACCCGCAGCTGTGTGGGTGGTAGAGGAGCAGACGCAAGTAACTCAGACTCAAATGCCACATTATGGAATGTAGGCATCCCCGCGTGGGAAGTGGCGCTGTGAACGGGTTTTGAGCAAGAGGAGTAAGAGGTGATATGCACCACCATGTTTTAGGGAGATCCATCTTTTCCTCACATCTGAGTTTATTTCAGCCAGAGTGGGAAATGACAAATGTCCTAGGGCTGTGTAGCCTCACAGTGGAATGCTCTTCAGCTGTTGACAGTCTTGGTATAGGATATCTTTACCAATGTGGAAGGACGTCCACTGGAGCTGAATGAAAAAACCAGTGGGCATAGTGAGGTGAGGTCTTACTTTTGTTTTATAAATGATATGTGCAGAGCTGGGGCCCTTTTCCTTAGTGGAAAAGCATGTGCCTAGCAAGTGACAGGCCTTGAGTTCAATCCCAGCACAGCCCTGACACACACACACACACACACACACACACACACACACACACACGAGTGCATGTGTGCATGAATATGTGTATGGCGAGAGAGACAGTAACCCAACCTCAGAGAGGCTCTGAGAGCCCCTGCCCTGTGGGACAGTGATGAAATGTAGTCCACACAGACTCCCGGGCTTGCACTCTAGTCCCCCAGGGTAGCCTGCTGCTAAGTACCTTACTGATTCTCCTTCTTCTGTCCGTCCTCCACTCTTATCACACTGTTTCCTGATGTCTCCTTCCAAATCAACTACTTGCTCCCAACCGCTTGCCTCAGATTCTGCTTCGAGGGAATCCCACCTAAGACACCAGCCCTGGTTTCTCCACAGCTTCCCTCCTGCGCCACCCCAGCTGTTGAAAACTGGGAAAAGCTACTGCACTTGATCTACAATACAGTCAGTTTGGAGACATGAAGTATCAAAGTGGACATAGAAGAAAAATCTTCTGGATATAAAATGGCCAAAGGGTTCAACTGAGGCCTAGCTGGTGTCACAGAGGAGGGCCAGGAGGCCACCGCTTCTTTCCCCCTGAAAGGGGCCAGGTGCAGGCTAGAGGTGGCTGCGGAAAGCAGGACGGGAGAATTCCAGTTCCTCACACAAAACTGCGTGGTGACCTTGTGCAAGACTTGTGTTTTGGGGAAAGAAGGCGAGGTGAAAATTCTGCCTCGTGGTACTCAGCTCGAGTTCTTTGTCAAAGGAAACCGAAACAGTCTGCTGTTTGGAGCGGGCAGGCATGGGTGTGTCTGCTTGTCGGTTGTGGGAGAGTTTACGTCGAGCAGAGGAGGTACCTTGCCTGCCACTTCCCTGCCTGGTGTTATTTTCTTCCAAGCACGGAATACACTGCCTATTTCCTTTTCCTTTTTTTTTTTTTTTCTTTAATGAGAACTTTTGTTTGTATCTTTGAACTTTTTTGTTTTGGGAGTGTGTGTTTGTGTGTGTCCCAAGACAATTTGTACCCAAATATAGTGTCCCAAGAAACTTTGTCCTGCCTACTGCCTTGGTAAGTCAGTTCCTACGAATAAACTGCACATGGACAAAGATTTGCACTTGGACGTGTTCATCACAGTGTTACCTTGAAGATTTAAAACTTTAATGTTACTCAGTGTCCACTAATAGGGGAGTAGTTGAGTAGACGGAGGCAACTCACCCGAGGACTATGGTGCAGTCCTTACAAACCATGGGCCCAGAAAAATGAGCCATCTCTTCTCTTTAGACAGAAATGGAGAGAAAAGGTCCTTTCCCAGAACTCCAGAACTCTAGTAGAAATTTCAATGCTTGTTTCTGGTACAGGTGAGAAGGCATCAATGAGACAGCAGCAACCAACTAAGGGGTCCTTTCCTTGAGGCCAGGTCCTAAAAGAACTAGAGTCGACAGCCATACCACCCTGAATGTGCCCGATCCCGTCTAAAAGAACTAGAATAGGAGGGCTGAAAGAAAGGGGTTAAATATGGCTCTGCAGAGTTCTGTCAGTGACACATAATTGTGTGACTGACGAATCATATGTGGGAAAGAAGGCGCCTCAGGAATACAACGGCGAAAGAATTTCGTGTTTCTGCTTAGAAGCTCTGGCTGCACTTTCTCTGCAAATTACAGTTGTCCTCGTGAGAGATTTGCGTGTGGCTGCATGCAACAGGCACCTGGCGGTACTCTGCGGACTTCTAAATAGGTCGTTGGATGTCCTGGGATAGGGACCTGGTCCCAAGGTCCCACCCCACTGGAACTGCACCATGGGATAGAGTTCCAGAGCCTTCTCCTCCAGGACTCCTAGAATTAGGGGCCACCAACCGTGCGGGGGCCTGCTGCTGAGGTCCCCGGGAGGTCACATCACACTGACCAAATGACTCCGGCCAGTGGTGGGTGTGGAGCTGCTGGTTCTATTCCTGACGGTCAGGGTGGGGTTTTCTGGGAAGTGGTTCTATTTTGTAGAATTATGTTGCTTATTGGTGACTGTAACTCAGTCTACACAAGTTTAAGGAAAAAGTGTGGGATTTTGGTTTATGATAGGACAGTAACCGGAATTCTAAGATGTGTCTTCAGGTCCCTCTCTGCTTCTTCCCTTCTGCGTCTCCTGCATCTTCTCTTCTCCGTTTGGTGTCCGGCCTCCCACAGACAAGCTTTCCTACTTCTGTCACCTCCAGGTTTACTTCGCTTACTTCTGCCAGATTCAGAGACTTCTGAGAGAGAATCTTTCTTTATGTCTGGGTGCCTATGAATCCCAGGAAAGACTATGATTGGCCCCGGTTTTGGACCAACCCCTGTGGCCAAGAGGATCGGTCAGACTTGGGTGACATTGCCATCCCCACGGCACAAGTGGGGTGGCCACCATGAGATCAGCATTCAAAACTCATATATTCAGAGTCGGGGCAGTTCCCCAGGAAGAACACTTTCCAAGAGAGGGAGGAATACCTCCTCCTCCGGCTGTGGAAGAAAGTCATCCTTGACACACAGCTCTGGTTTCCAGTCAGCTCTATCTCTCATCCAGACTGTACCTTGCACATTAGAAAAAGTAGCCTTTCCCCTAAACATTGTAGTACCAGTGCCAGAAAATTATCATGTTAAATGAACGAATCTATACCAACTTCAAATGTGACTAGTGCCTAGAACTGCAAGCACACAACCCAGGAAGCGAAGGTAGCAGTTCTGCCTTCTTGCAGTGTGGAAGTTCCCTCTGATGACTCTAATCCTGCTGGTGTAAAGTCAGTTTCTGTCTGGGCTGCCAGGTCCGGAGAACGAGGTGTTGCAGATGAAAGGAAAAACAAGAGAGACGAAGTTATCTCTCGGACTGAAGCCTCAATTACAGGCTCCTTCAGCCTTTTATTGGGATACAAACAAAAAGCAGCAGCAGGGAGTATGGGAGAAATAATTAACAAGATTAGCAAGGACAATACAACTCAATTATCACAGGAATGAGAAGACTTAGTCAGCCATCACGTCATCATTCTTTCGGGCATATCTCAGCAAGGCATCTAGTGTTGTCCCAGCAGCTTTCCAAAGGGACGCAGGTCCTGCTATCATTTCCCTTATGCTAATGCTTTTGTTTTTTATTTTATTTTATTTTATTTTTTGGTATTTTTGAGACAAGGTCTCGCTATGCGGTTCAGGCTGGGCTTGAGCTCACTTTGTAGTGCAGGCTGGCCTCGAACTCACAATGATCCACCTGCCTCAGCCTCCCGAGTGCTGGGATTACAGGTGTGCGCCACCACGCCCGGCTTACACTAATGCTTTTGCTAGACTTCCTCCAGAATCAAGCAATCATATGGCTTGGTAATCTATAGAATGTTCTTCTCCATGTAATCCGTCATTAAAGAACATTTTACCCCAGAGAGCTTTTAGAAGGCGACCGAGGTGCCAAGGCAGAGACCAAGGGGGCAGAGCTATAAGTGAAAATGACAGCTGGTTCTCATCACCTCCCACCGCCCTTCCAGGGCCCAGAGACAGCAAGCAGTGTCCTATGGGGTCAGGGGGCAATAACCAGGGCTTGCAGACAGTAACCTGCTGCAAAGTGAGCTAACGTCATAGCGGGGCTGGGAGTGATGAGTGGGACCCTGAGGAACAGCTTTGGGGAGGCAGCTCGGGAGGGATGAGAAAAAATGCATGTGTTTCCTTTGAATGCTGGAAAACGCTGACTCTGGCAGAGAAGAGGCCAGGTGGGCAACACCTGGATCCCATTAGCAGTGAAACCAAGTGAGGCTGAGGCAGGAGGATTGCCAAAAGTGCGAGGCCAGCCTGGGCTACGTAGTGAGTTCAAGGCCAGCCTGAACTATATAGCTAGATTCTGTCTCAAAAAACAAATGAGAACTGCTGGTCAGAGAGGCCAGCAAGCAAGGCAGGATAAAGAATTGTGTACAGAAGACACCAACACTCACACCTACATTTGGAAAACAAATCACCTCTCAGCGGTTAGGCAACTTTCTCCAGGGGCCCACGGTGGCCACCTGGGCAGGGGCCAAGCTGTGGGAAGTCCCAGGCCCAGCAAGAACTACTGCAGCAGGAGCTGGGCCTGGTCCCAAGGAGGGGCTCTGGGCTGACTGAGGCTGTGTCCATAGTCTGGGCAGGTTGGCGAGGAGGACAGAGCCCAGTCCTGGAGCTGAAGATCGCTGCTCACCAGCCGCCCTGAGCTCTTCTCAAAGGACACTCTGGCCAGGGCTGAGCTTGTGGGGGCACCAAGCAGCAGCCAGAGCTCTGACCGGCCAGAAAAAGGTGGTGGCAGGGATGGGTGGGGCGGCCAGGCTGACTGCTGCGGGACAGTGGGGAGCGGATGAGGTCAGGACTCTGCACTCTAAGGTTCATACTTCCGGGCCTCAGCCAGATGCCGGGGATCGGCTCTGAGATGAAGCACTTCACAACGTCTCCACTAGGGGTCACCACACACCCAGAGTGGAGCGTGGGGGAGGGGAGGTAAAACAGAGGCTACCTCCTCCCCACAGCGGCTGCCCAAACTCCGAGGGACAGATGTCTAGCCAGTGGGGTGAGGGCGGAGGGGGTAGAGGAGGTGGTGAAATGCCCCTTGAAACAGCTGTGTGGTGTCGCTAAACAGCTGGAAGAGAGAGAGGGAGTGTCCGGGTGTGTCTGGGTGTGTTTGGTGGGCAAGCAGGGGTATACACGCAGGCGTACACTTGATACAAATCTACGGCTATGATGGGTGGCCCTGTGTTCGTGCGAACAGGGCGTGTGTGTGGGCACAGGTCACTAACAGGCAAGTCACATTTGTGAAAACTGAACCCATAAGCACGGCTGTGGGTGTGTACACAATGAATACACTCAGTAAAGACCTGTGCCAGTGACACGTGGCACGTGTGCTCACGCGGGCGTGAGTGTGCCGTGGCTCGGTGCATGTGTATACAAGCCACGTACATACGTACAGCCTGAGGTGAGCCTGGGGGTGTGCACGTGCAGCTGATGTGTGTGTGGTGGGGTGACTGTGGTGGAGACGTCCGTGGATGTACCACGAGTGATTCCTGTGTGCCGCTGGGTATGCGGGAGTGCAGCGTTTGTGCCCGGAGGGGGCGCGTGCGCGTGCCTGAGAGTGTGTGAGCAGGCGGTGTCGCACGGCATTTCTGGTAGTGAGGGTGAAAGGCGAGCAAGTGTGGGAATGAACCTGTGTACATCTGTCAAAGCTGGGGCATGGGGGAGGGGCGCGCATGGTGCCCCCGTGTGTGGACGTGTGTGCGCACGTGCGCGCGCGTGTGTGGATAGCTGAGTGTGTCACAGCCTGTCACCCCGGCTGTCGAGGCTCCAGAGCCGAGGGCTGCGGGGCTGAGCCCCGAGCACCCCAAGAGGGCAGTGTGGTGAGGCTCCCACCTGAAGACTGGCCCAGTCCTCGGGTTTCACTCATGACCCTGTGACATCAGCGGCAGCAGCTGTCTCCTCGGCCCGGCCCCCCGGCCAAGTCCCCCGGAGTTCCGGCCCCAGCCCGAGGTGGGCACGACGCTCCGGGCTTGTCAGCGACCGCCCCACGCCCGTCTAACGGTGAGTACTGCGCCCCTTCACGCTAGCCAGCCGGTACCCCCGGGGCGGGTCACCCCAGGGACAGGCCAGCCTGGCGCTGAGGAAGTCACCGCTTTGCTCCGGCACCGCTGACCTCCTGCCCACACCCGGCTGTGCTGCCCGCGCCCCGGCCGGGTCGTCTGGCCGCCCTGCCCAGCTCCTGCTGACCGACCCTCTGTCTGTGCCTAGACTTGCTTCTGCCCGTGCCCGGTCCTCTGTTCCTCTGCCCCTGCGGGCTGGCTGTCCTTGCCTTCAGCGAGGGTCTTCACTCGGGTCACGCACGGCCCTGTGGCTGAAGCTTGGCTCTGGACGGGCACAGGGTGACCCAAGGGGCGGGGACCG